AATCCTCTCTGAGGAGTTGGATTCCTCGCTCCATGGGCTGTCCTCGTGGTAGTATTGAGTATCTAGGCTCTTGGTCATATTCCCTTGAAGGAATCTATTCCTGATTCCAAGCCTTGAGCTCTACCCCGGGCCCAGGAGTTCTGGCCCGAACAGGTACGTTTTTTGGGGTATGTAGCCTAGGCCTTTGGCCGTAGGGAATAATGTCACTGACAGCCATCTAACGTCCCAGGGGCAACTCCCATGGCAATATGGTAGAGTTGGTACTTAGTGCTCGCCATGGTGGCGTGCCATCCAGGTACTGACCAGGATCAACCCTGTTTGGCGTCAGTGGGCAACCAGTCTTGGGCTACAGGGTGATATATTTTTTATTGCAAAAATATTTAGAAAATCTGTTCATATTTAATTTGCATCTAAAACTACCAAAACTGATACTGATAGCCTACTAAAACTCATATACAGTTCTTGGTGTTCAGTCCGATTTGGAAATGAATTGTTCAATCATTAAAGCCATTCTGTGTGAAACAGAAGAGGGTAATGGCTTTCGGTAACCTGTTATGTTTACATAAGAGAAAATGCTTTATAGAATATAAAACAAGAGGAGGCTAGACATCACCAGAGTGAATTTGGGTAACATGAAAGTGTGCTGCAATTTGTGTGAAATATAGAGGAGCAGGGCCGTGCACAGGGGGGTGGCCCGGTGTCTAGAGGTAGATGCATTACAATCCACATTACAGTCAATGAATGATTCGCTGAATTGGTAATTTGGTAGTTTGTTTTTGTATTTCTGTCGGTAATGATTTGCTCTCGGTTTTTTAAAAGTGATAACAAAATATCCATGGTCTTAGAATTAGAATATCTAATCAAATTATTGTACCTGGTCAGATCTTATATAAATAACACACAATTCGCTGTTGTTGGCAAAAACATTGAAAAAATGCCTTCGCAAAAAAAGAAGACAGAGAGAAAGAGCGAAGGGAGGCTGTTAAAGGCAGTTCAACATTGAAAACATAAATACAAAGCTCCAGCAAGCCAGCAGGTAAATCATCATATAGAATATTTAGCAGTTTGTCACACTTTAATTATTGTAATTAAGTATATTTCCCATTATAATCACTTGTCTTGATACTAGTAATCTATAACACATCATATTTTATTAAAACCATATTAATAGTAGACCTATAAATAGTTAAAAAATAATATAAATGTTCTAAATGAGTTGTTTATTAGTATATAATATAGATTTATGCTGTAAAATATTAAATTAAATGTCTAATACGTATAGAGGAGAGTGGGGTAAGATTAGACATTTTTTACTTTTGTGGTCCTCAGGATAAGTTAAAATTATGCTGAAGTACAATGAAAGTATCCTATCCTATCCTATCGAAAGTACTCCTATCATTTTAAATGATCAGAATGTATCTATGACAAAGGGTTCTAAAAATATGGCTTATAAAAAAGTGTTCCTATGGCTCAGTTTGCTCCAAAAACAAACTGAGCCATGGGAACCCCCGGGTTAGGGGTAAGTTGACCCGAGTCGAGTCAGTGGGTAAGATGCACCATCTGGGTGTAAAATGACTATCTGACCAAATCTGATTCAAACCCATGTGAAATAAATAATACTTACAAATATAATTTAATAATTTCCTTTTACAAACAGACATATTTATTTTCATAAAGTTAACTTAAACAACACAAAACCAACCAAGTGAACTTTAAATTTCAGTATTTAATTGTTTGCATTTCGCTTACCAGTTCAGGCTAATATTTAGCTAAATGATTTGCATGGTTTTATATGTTGCTAAATCACCTATATGTATCATAAATATTTTTAGACCTGGATAAATTTGCTTTGATGTAACAACCATTACATCTCTTATGCTAAAATGTTACTTTGACAAGCCAAAAACAGTTTTTAAAGTAAATGGGTGCTTTCCATTCCCCCCATGTGTTCCTCATTAATAGTCTGGCAGAAATGATGGGTGGTTCCAAAAAAACATGGTCACATGACAGTAAAAGTGTACAGTTGCCAAGAAACAGGGGGTGGGTCAACTTACCC